TTGGGAGACGTGATTAGGACAGCGACCTCGTCTATGCTCAGTCCCACTGAGGAGGTTGGGGTGGGCCAGTAATGAACATAAGGCGCGGATCTAATCGGAACACCTCAAAACGGTATGACAACTGTGCAGAGACATAATACCGGTGAAACACACGACTAGGCCTTTAGCCATTACCCGTGCTGCCAGCATGGTCAACTGTTAGTCAAGCCGTATGTCCGTATTTGTATTTACTATAACCTGTCTACTTAATTGATATAGGTAGGCATGTTTTATTATGATTATATTTTAATTTGTCTCAATGAGACCTTTAAGCGATATGTTAGGGCTCAGTTCAGGTATAGGGTTGATTTAAAGAATAGGTAAATAACTATGATTTGGATTAGGGTTAACGTTAGGGGCAAGTACCCCTGCTGCAGACGGTGTTACTCAATCCAAACCTCTTTAGTCAATAACCTTGCATTTTCGGTGTTCTGCGCGTTTACACCTCCCTTAACCGTATATTTCATACTACGCCTCACTAGAACACTAAATCAAACTACAGCTACAAATTTGAATATGCTCAATGAAGACTGCATTAATTTCCTTGCACATCTTTCCTACTGATACGAGTAATATAACTACCTCTTCCCTTTTACGGGAGTGTCTGTGATCTACTTTACCAGTGGACTTACATGTTACATTATCAGCGAAGATGATAAACTGTCCTAAGTTCGATCTACTTTAGGGATCCGGGATACGATTTCGTAACTGCATCGTGAAGAGCACCTAATGAGCGCTCAGGCACGCACGCTGTTTCGTTCTACCAGTTTCACTGGTGCGTTGCTCGTCATAATCCTTGGATTGCATCTACCCCATATACTAAAGGCCCCCTCCCTCCCTCCCTGCCTCGGAGAGAAGGTTTCCGATCAAACGTAAAAACAACCAACAACCTCACAGGTCTCCACAAAACACGCAAAGATACATCCGCATTCACATGGGACTTGTCGAAAGCGGCAGAGAGGATATTGGCTGTTCGGAGATTCAGAACTAACCGAAAATATCATCCCTCGCAAGTGCCTCCAGTATTCGCGAACCACCGACCAGATTGCCCAACGCAGCGGACAGTGTAGTGGCGAAAACACCCATGGTAGCCAGAGGAGGCCAGAAGGAGATGCTCTGCATGAAGGCATAATTTTCTATCAGCAATTCCCTAAAACAAAACGGGAAAGATAATATTACCAAGAATCCAGTTAAACTGCCAGTGAAGAACTCAAGATTGAGGAAACATGGTTCTAATGAAAAGTAAACCCACCCCCTGAGAATATGTATTCTACCAGTGGCATTTTTTGAATAATAATAATAATAAAGATGAAGAAACTCCTATTGAGAATGGAAAAAAGTGACGAAATGTTTCGATTATGCTTAGAGAGGAGAGGATCAAACAGCTAGGAAGGAGAATTCTGGTTATTTCAAACGATAAATTGGCGAGGATGGGTTTTGTTTAGGTAAATTGTCGTTAGACCTGTACATATACATCGCAATTAAATAAATAAATTATGCAGATTGGT